GCAAATTCCAAATTAAAAATAGTTCAGTTAACAGCTTTAAAAAATACTTTTGAAATATTTTAAGACACTACCCTCCCCCTATATTTTTAAGTTTGGTCATTCCCATGGCCTGAAAACTATTAAAATTTTTGATCAGCTTTAGAGTCATAGTTACTATATTTTAGTAAGTACATTTTGGTAAATCTAGCATGAAATTTCCAAATAATTCTAAAATTTTTCATCTGGGAAAGCAAAGACAGATTTGTTATAGCAACTAATTAGTAGTCTCTAAAATCAAATTCTAAATGTTACAGGCAAAGGGATGGTTGCAATCATAGTCATGTCAAGGTGCAGAGGGAACATAAGATGAGGCTGGGCTTGCAAAACCAAGTCCTTAGGAATGATACAAATGAAAACATGCACAGGTTAGAAGTTTCATAGTAATGAAATTAAATGCCCATGCCCATAAGTTTTGGGTACAAGTGTATTTTAAAATTGAAGTCAGTGGCTTAGGCACGGGGCTGCTATTGTTAACTGTTCACAAGCTTGGAAAAACACTCACTGTTGCTACTGGTCCACAAATATTTGTTACCGTGAAGTTTTGCGTTTGTGTGCTGCCTTAGTTCTCACAACCAAGTTTGGGCATAAAATGTTCTCTTTTTTCTCTTTCCTTTTAAGCTTACCACATGGACAGCTAAAGAAAAAAAGTTTTGAAGATATTTTGCCATAAATGGCTCAGAAGACAATGTAAAGGAAGCCCCATGCACCTTCACTTACAAGCACAGATCAAAATAGTTTAAATAGGTCAGGACAACGCCTGTAGATTCTAATTCCTAAGAGCAATTCCACAAATTGTCTCTGTGGTCACATTTATCTTAAATCATAGCTTCTGCAATATTTTACATTCTAAATTCAAGGAGTTGCAGGTGGAAATGGTTGAGTGGAAGAAATATGCACTATTATACCGCAGTTTACTGTCAAGATACATCTAACCTGATATAAAATTGACTTAATTATTCCTGATTATTTTTTAAAATCATACTTTTCCTGCATCTGGAACTTAGCATTAAGTGCTTGTGTGTGTGTGTCTCCTACATCCTGGGGTGCACAGATACCAGCACTCCTGTGTGATCTCAGCCACCGTACAGTTCCGCTTTTAAAAGACGCCTGACTGTAAATGTCAAAGTCATAAATATTTCAGCATTATTTTCTTTCAATTCCAAGTCAAGACTGACAGGATGCTTCTAATTAGTCGAGGGCTCTCTGCAGGGCCCAGCCCCAGGACAAAATTTGGGGAAAGCACATGTATTTCAAGTTGCTCAGCCTTGGGCAGCAGGGACCCAGAAGGGGAGGAGGCTGAGGCCCACCCCACCCAGGTCACACCTGGAGCAGAACCTCGGATCAAACTCACTCTCCAGCGGATATCAGGCTAATTCTTTTCTCTTAAAGCTGGGGGTTAGCAGGGATTAGAAGTTTTGTTTGTTTTCTTAATTCCACAAAAAGAAAGGAAATAAAATAATCAAAGTTATTTTAACTCAATCACTATGCCAAAGAGGGGAGGTCACTTTAATTTTTTTTTTTTGAAAAGTTTCTATAAATTTTCGTTTCTTCCGGGATTCTTAAGACCTGAGTAGCAACCAGCAACAGTTTTTCCTCCCGCTGGACCCTTCCTCTCCTCACTGGGTAGGTCGGAACCACTGGGGGTGCAGGGGGGATGGGCAAGGAAGAGGGACTTTCCCCGTTCCAGCTGAGTAGCCCCCGGCGGGCTGGAGAGAGGGTTCCGAGCCCGGCCCCAGGATCCTGTGACCTCGTCGTCACAAGCCCGGTGGGTCCGTCAGCCCTACCACCGCCTTCCCTCTCTGGCTCAGACCCCCTGATTCCCCGCCCACGCTCCTGTCACAGACCGCCCCTGCTGTGCGGGCTGGGCCGGGCCGGCTGTCCACAGCCATCGACACCTCCCCTGGCTGCGGGAAGGGCCTCCCCGCGGACGGGCTGCGGGGGGAGGGGGGGAGCCTGGACACCTCCCTCCGGCCTGAGACCACTGTGGCCCTTCTCTTCGGGACAGCTCCGGCCCACGCAGCTTGGAACTAGAGGACATCATAGAAAATGGGACTCGGTGGGCACGGGGTCGCGTCCTTTTTCCTTCCCCGCTTCCCTTCTCCTCTAGCAGCACCGGGGACCCGGAGGGGGATGGTGATGCTGAGCAGCTGGGAAGAGGGAGAGCAGGATCCGGAGAGGAGGGACCCGAGCTCTGGGGGCAGTCACTCTCCTTGGCATTTTTCTTGACCTTTGAGTTAGTTCCACGCGGGCTGCGAAAGGGGCAGAGGTTAGGCCCTGCTTCTCTACCCCCGCTCGCCGGACGCATCGTGGGTCTCGGTGAGCGTCGGTGCCCCAGCCGGCCGTGGCGGCCGCGTTTGGGCCACCCTGCCGCCCCGGGAAGATCTTCGGTGCGGCCTCCCGGCTCAGTGTCCAACCCAGGGTCTCTCTTTCGCCCCAGACCTGGGCCAGGTTGACGTGTGGGCACTGCCACCTGCCTCCGTGGCCTCCCACCTGGAATCGCGTGACAACCGGGCCACCCCGTGCCCCTTACACGGTGAGCCCGCGGGCACCCTGCGTAGCGGGACCCCGCGTCCCCGACTGCCTGACACCCACAGCCGCGGCCTTGGTCCCTGCGCGCGTGCGACCGTCTGTCGGGTGCGCACTGCGCGTCCTCTCTGAACCGGGCTGGCCACCACACGCGTGTGCGCTTCACGTCGCCAGGCAGGAAGGTTCAGGAAGTCCCTGTTCCCGGGCGCCGTCAACCACGTGGGCGCGAGGGGTCCTCCCGACGCCTGGGCGGGATCCCCAGAGCTGGCGCTTGGCCTAAGTGAGGACGCGGGCACCTCCAGTGGTTTGCACTGGGGCGGGGTTGAGGGACGCGTAGTGACGGCCAGGCGGACCCGGCCCAGGCGGGGGGACAGCGGACGCCCCTCCTTCGGCCGCGCCGCCTCCTTTGTTGTCCCTGCTCCGTCTGCCGAGGCGAGGCTGTCCCGCGGGGAGAGCGAACCGTCCTCCTGGAAATGGCCCCCACGGAGGTGTCGATTCGGCCTCTTTCGGGGAGCGGAGGGGCGGCCTCCCCGGCCGCGGAACGCAGACGCGGGGCGGCGGCGGCGACCCCGGCCCGGAGCCTCGCTGGCCCTCGGGCGCTCACCGCTGCCGAAGGGGCGCGAAGCAACGTGCCGCGCGGGCTCGGGGAGCTGGGCCGGGCCGGTCGCGCTCCCTCCCGCCCTGCTGGGCCTCGCTGCGCGGGGTGGGGTCCCTGCGGTTTATTTACCGGGCTCTGGCTCTCACCCCGCCAGGGGCTGAGACAGGGGTGCGGAGGGAACGGGGGTGGCGGGGAGGGGTGGTCCGCGGCTCCCGGAGCTTTAACCTTCCGGAGGCGGCCGTGCCGGCGTGGAGGGAGGGGCGAGCGGGAGGGGGGAGGGGAGGGGTCCACGCCGGGGGCGACGGCGGGACCGGCCACACAGGCCTCGGGCAGCCCTGCGCGCCCCTCCCGCGCTTCCGCCCCTCCGTGTCCCCCACCCCCACCCGGGAGTCCTCCCTCTCCGTCCCTCCCTCCTCCCCCCGTCGTCCCACCCCCTCCGCCCCTCCCCTCTCCCTAGCCCCCTCCCCTCCCTCCCCGCCCTCCGTGAGCCTCCCGCCCTTTGCCAGCCTCGCCGTCCTCCTCGGAGCCGCGCATCCAGGCAAGAAAATCCAGCGTCTTTTCTCATTTAACCCGCGTTTCCATTAACTCAGTCCCGGCACCAGCTAATCCGCGGCACCGAAGGCAAAAGGAGGCTAATTAATGACCAGCTTTTCCAGTCAAGACCGGCGATAATTGCTTTGGTGGCCTTTATGATTACAAGCTAAAAATGGCCCGGCCTGACATAAGAGGCCCTGTGTACACTCGGAGACAGGAGGGAATGAGGAGGGGGGAGGCTGGATACAGAGCAGAAAATTACTAATACAAGACACATAATGAATAGGCCGGCCAGGCATTCATGGGGAAAAAAATCCATTTTGTTACCACGCGAAATTAGGTGGTGGAAAGGAGTTTGCTAATTGTTCTCATCTTGTAGCAACCGGGACCGAGGCGCGGGCGTGCGTCTCCATTCATTTACCGAGTAATGGTGGAGGGCGTGCTGGCCGGAGCCGCGCGCTCCCGCGACCTCTCCGTCCTCCCGGGGCGTTTTAATTGGGGCTAATACACCTGCTAACGAGGCTAACGGGCGAGCACCATGCACCTTTTGCACGTGGAGACTAGTGAAATGCACCCAAAGGATCTCCCCCCGCCAAAAAAAACAACAATGAGAATCTGATGGTTTGTCTCCCTTACTCTCCACGCCGCGGAGAAGTGAACTCGTGGACCGTCATGTTTCATATGCCCTGCAGCTCCTTTCAAGGAAGAGCGCTGAGGTGCGGGGCGTTGGAGTGTGTGTCCCGCGGGCGCGCGCGCAGAGGGGCTCAGGTCGGTGGGGATGTCAAGGAAAGGTTCCTCCAGAGGCCGCCCTCCAGCAGTGTCTCCAAGGACGTGGATGTGAAACTTAAGAACCTGCCCCTGATTGTGCTGTGTGATGTAGAGTTGTTTGACCTCTCTGTGCTCCCAGCACCGCCCCCCCCCCAAAAATCATTGTGGTGCATGCTCAGGATAAACTGCTCTATTTTCCTCACACCTGTTTGAAGAAGGGATGTGCGCTTTTCCTTAAAGCTGCAAATCAGCTGCCAAAGACTTTGCCTTGTTAGGGTTAGAAAAACGGTGGCCTTCAGGAAAACAAGTAATGCTTCTAAGTTTTCTTTTGAAACGTTGCAATTTGTAATGTGCTAGTTAGAAATAACTTCCCTCCTTGTTTGCGGGGTGCTGTTCCAGTTGGCCCCCGGTGGCTGCTTTAACGCCAACATGGTGCTGTGCTGAGCTTTACGTTTACCTTGCGTTGGAAAAGGGTGGTTTCCAGGAGGTCATAATTTGTTAGGTGCTAACGCATGCCTTCTCTCCTGTTCTGCAGAAAAGCAAACTCAAGCTTCTGCCGCACGGAGCAGAGCAAGAGGACTCGACCCCGTTCATCGTGCTGACCCTGGTCTCTGTCGTGGCCATGGTCGGGGTCCTCCTGGCCTCCGGTGTCATCTACTGTTTGCGCCACACCTCGCACTCCCAGCTGCAGGAGAAGCTCTCGGGACTGGGGGAGCACCCTGGCCCGGATGCCACCAACGCCTACCAGGTAGGGGTTCTGCTGGGTTCTGTTCACCAGTGCGCGGTCTGTGGCCCCTCCCCGTTCCCAGCGCTTCATGTAGTCACAGTTTGGGTTCTTTCAGGAAGACGGTTTGAAACTGCTCATCAGCATTCACATAAATACCTTGGAACCACAGTTTTACTGCTTTGTGTTAATCTTACTCTGTTCTCGGCTCGTCTCAGTTAGCTGTGAAAGCAGGTTGCTCATTAGAAATGTCGAAAAAGTACAAAACATGAATTATGTATTATCTGTTATCTTTCTTAGTTTGGCCACTATTAATGAAAAATGCCAAAGTTGCAAGATAAATTGGTTGTGTAGACGTTTGAAGATGTCTCTTAAATCATCGACTTCCTCCGGGTCTTCTATGAAAAGATCCTTTGACCTGATCCATCGCCACCCCCTGCTAGTATTTGGATAAAGTGAAATCTAATGCTGATCAGTGGGAAGTAAGCCAAGGGCGTCTCCATGAGAGTGAGGGTGGTGGCTGGGTGCGGGAACTCCCAACCATTCCAGACACACCTGGAGATGAGTCAGAAGCCAATGAGAATGTGAGGATGCAGATGCAGACCAAACGGGACAGTAAAAGATTTTTGGACGTTGTGTAGCACGCACTTTATATTTAGTGACGTCCTGCAGTGAGAATGAGCAACACCAGCCCAAGGCATAAACAAGTCAGGGCACAACTCAGTATCGTTCCCATTTGGGAAGGTAAAATACTTAATCATCGTTTTAGAAATTCAGTCAGTATATATCTGTGAAATATTTTCTCCCATTGGACTAGATTCTTTGTTTCCTCTACTCACATGATTATGATGTGTAATAGGTCTGTCTTATAAATAAGGCATCATATTTTACAATAATATGTAAGTTGACTGTTCAGTCATCACAATTATATGGGGGTGAGGGGGTCTCAAGCTCTTTCTAGAACCACCGTCCCTCCAAACTGTCCTGCGAGGTGCCCTCCAGGAACTTGTCTGAGCTAGCTGCTTTTCCTCCATAGGCCACCCTGACACTGGCCCACAGAAGGACCTGGGATGAATTTATTAAATCACTATCCTTAAAAGAGACCAAGAGATAGCTTTCTCCCCCCATTCAAAAGTTCTTGGTATTGTCACTGAAGAGAGAAAAGCGCTGGCTTTCTGGAGGAGGTCACGAGGCTGGTCAGTATGATCTTCTCTCATAAAGAAATGGCACCTTCAAATGTGTGGGAGGTGGCATTTCAGCCCCAGTGCACGGCTCTGCTTCAAAGCAAAAGAAAAATCACGTTTGAAGAGGAAGCCCAGAAAAAAAATGTCACATAAACTAGTAAGAATTTATCTAGAAATTCTGTTGAGCAAGACCATCAGTGTAGGATGCCGGGGCTTCTGGGCCATGTCTGTGCCAGGACATAAATAAATTATCACACCAGTTCTGTTCTGTGTGCAGGAGACGGGAGATCACACAGGGGTGGATTTTTAGAAAGCATGGCATCCTTTGATACACTTTGAAATTCAAATATAAAATATTGATAGAATGGAAAGGTTGGGCTTGCATGCAGAAATGACTCAGTTTGGCAAAAATATGGGTTGAAATTGCACACTTAGAACTGAGTTTGTGATAATTAACAGAAAAAAGTCTTCCCGGTGACAGCTCTAATTAATAGTATCTGTAATTAAAATCATGCCCTTCCAGCAGGAAAATTGTTTGAATTTCTTGGAGTGACCTTTTTGCTCTTCCTCCTGGGGGCATGGTGGTTAAGTTGATATTGATTTTATAATGAGCTCTGGTTTGTTTAATAAGAATCTGTAATCCAGACAATAAATGAAATGTGTGCTTTTCTTCAATCCAGATTAATAAAAAAGGGGGAAAAGCACAGAAAAAACTTTCCCTTTGAAAATATGATCTAGGAAAAATTGGAAATGAAATTATTATAAAGATTTTGTGATGGGCTTAATTTTGAAATCACTGTGAAATACCTCTCAGGGAACTACTCTGGTTAAATGCAGACGTTTGACCCAAAGTGGACGGTCCACTGGGGAGAAGATGCTAGTGCTTGAGCGGTTGAGTTGTTTTGGTTTGTGGCTAGCAGAGCAGGACTCCGCCAACAGGGTTGGGGTCTCAGGGCTGTTGCCTCTAGATTTCGCTGAGTCATGTATGAAGGGCTCTTAACCGAGTAGTCCCTAATAGAGGATGTCTGCCTTTGTAAATGAAGCAGGTATTAACTCAGGAATGCATCCACACTAAACTTGGCTTTTCCAGAGCTATCACTGAGACCCCCTTTCAAGCTTCAAGTCTGTCTGAGAAGTTATTTAAAGTATTGCAAATGTAAAAACAATTTCAGGAAAAGTTGCCTTCACGCTGTATTTCTTTTTAAACCATTGAACTTCTGCACTCTGCTAATCCTATAATACAAGTGAAGTTTGGATAAACCTCCTCTTAATTCCCAACACCGGGTGACGAGGAAAATGGAGCGATTCAATATCATGCCTTATTTCATACTCAATCATTTTTATAAACTCTCCGAAAGAGATGAAGGTTATTGTGTACGGAGGTTAGAAGTAGCTGCCTGGGAATGAGGAACGGTAGGCGGCGAGGTAATAAGTTTTATTTATGTCAGAATGTGAACTTACCCTTTAAATGGAGGAACTAATTGTTCTTATCAGAACACGAGGAGCCTTTGGGTCCACAGTGAGGAGGGGGAGCTCAGGGCTGGTGGTCCCGAGGAGGCGCTGGTGGCCTCTGGAATTCTTCCTCCCAGAGAGCCAAAAAGGAGGATCCTTCAGTGCGCGGGTAAACAGCATGGCAATGGCCTCGTTGCAAGAGAGCTCGGGTGGGGACGCCCCACCCCACAGCCCACCCTTTGTAAAGCCCTGGCCCACGTCAGCCCCGACAACGCACACCTTCTAATATTTGCTCTCCCAGGCTCCTGGCGGCTGATGATGCAGAGGCCCCGTGAGCTCATAATTCATGGTCTGCGGCTTTGGGTTAGTTACAGTGCATTCATGGAGTGTTCCAGAATAGTCAGTGGGCTTGTCTCAAAATTGCTTCAAAACAGTGAGTAGTTTGCAGTATTAGGTCCCAATGCAAACACATTTAAACCTTTTTTCTCTTCTTCCACAGAATAGAGCCATTTCATAGAGCCAGCATCTTAAAGCTTAGCTTACATGCGTGTATGAGTATGTGATATTTTTGTTTGCTTTACCTACTGGAAAATCAAATATTTCTTGATAGACTTACATGTTAGCACTTACCAAGGGATCAGTCTTACCAGATAATCTATCAAAATTTAATTTCCTCAAACTTGAAAGAACTAGGTATATTAACTTTCAGAATAACGGAAATCCATTTTGAAAGGCCATTTTTTTTAATGGCCACCAAACTTTGCCCCAGTGTTTTACTGAACGTTATTTTTTCTTCTAAATACATGAAACATAACGTATTTGGATTAAATCTGTACTTCATTACCTAAAAAGATGATTTCTTTACTTTTATTCTTTTTTCTCCCCCCAAATTGGCATGTCGGTACATAATATATATGTCGTGTGTGAGCATGTCTGCTTGCTGCTGGTGTGTGCAGGTCAGTGTGGAAGGAGGTGTGATGCCTGTGCCCAGCACACGACGGGCGTCTCCTCGCACGGGAGTCCCATTTCTGTGGAATGCCGTCAGGTGAAAATGCCGAAGGAAGTGATTAGATGATTAGAACACATTCCCTCCTCTCTCTCTCTGAGTCTCTTTGAATGTTGCATCCGTTTCCCGGAGGCTTTGATCACCTTGGAGCAGGAGTTCAGCGCTCGGCCGGCCCACACCCTCGTCCCCACACGAGCGCACAGACTCCTGCGGAATTTCCAGCAAGCCTCTTTTGATGGGTTATTTCACATTACCCAGCACGCTTCCTTATCACTTGGAGGCCTTTGGAACCAGACCCAGAGGAGAGCACGCATCTGGGCGCAGCGGGCATCCCACTCACGGGCGATGATCAGCGAGTGACCTCACGTTAGGTGCGAGGTGGCTGTGATTGGGGTGTCCCGTCCACTCCGGCTGAGGGGCTGGTGGCCTGAATGCAGCCCAACTCCTCATCCCCCCTGGGCAAGGGAGAGCCAGCCCCTCACAGAGGAGGGCGCCTGTCACAAGCTGGCTTATTCTCCAGGGCCTTGAATTAAGGGATCCTTCTTTTTCTAAGGCAACTTAATCTTTTGTAATTGGTACAATCACTCGTTAGAGAAGCGTTTTCCGATTTAGGTAGAAAACGGGGAATCTCCTGAGGTTTGCCTGAACCCACCACAATCTCCTAAAATAGCCCATTTCAGTCAGCTATGTATCAGTCAGAAAGAACGGCCTTTCTTTGCTTTACATGTAAATTTTCAGGTCGAAATAACTTTTGTGCAACTTCCCAGCAAGAAAATCTATCCTGCTTCATAAAAGGAAAAGTGCCCTCAAATATTATTAAAGAACTTGGGTTTTTATCCTAACCCAGTCAAGCCTGAGAATTGGGATTTTGCTAGTTTTGCCTTTGTAAGAAGCTGCAGTTCGCACCTCTGTGTGTCGGGAGAGCTCTTTTGAAGCTTTGCAGACACTGAGTTGATGTTTCATCTGGTCGAGGGGAAGCCAGGCTGCTGAGGGAGAGGCCTTGTCCTGGGGTCCCAAGCTCCTCGATCCCAGAAAGAGGCCCAGGCTTCACTGTAAATTAAGTACATGCCTCTCCACACAGTCACGTGGTAATGAAGGAAAACTTGCAGACTTTTGCCTTGCCACGAGGAACGCACCTGTCCCAAGCATTTCGAGAACATGTGTGTGTTTGCGTGTGCATTCAGTTTCAAGTGATCAGTTAGGACCAACAGGCTCCTTTGAGTAGATTCCTTGCCACCCTGGGTCTGAACATTGTCCTGTAAGGCGTGAATTTGTAGTGCATTTTTCTCATAAACCTTAAATTTTCAAGTCCGCAGTTTCCAAAAGCCGCGGCTGCGTGCCCATTCTCCAGTTTCTGTGCAACGCGTCTCCTCAAAAATAGC